AGATAAACCCCAATTGAGGGACATCCTACAAAATGCCTGATGACCACTCCTCAAAACGGTCAATGTCAGGGCCGGCCCAGTGGCGCAAGCAGTTGGGTGCGCATGCTCCGCTGCGGCGGCCCGGGGTTCGCCAGTTCAGATCCCGGGCACGCACTGATGCACCGCTTGTCAAGCCATGCTGTAGTGGCGTCCCATATAAAGTGGAGGATGGGCACGGATGTTAGCCCAGGGCCAGTCTTCCTCAGCAAAAAAAAGAAAAAAAAAGAGGAGAATTGGCAGACATTAGCTCAGGGCCAATCTTCCTCACAAAACAAAACAAAACAAAACAAAACAAAAAAAAATGGTCAATGTCATCAAAAACAAGGAAAGTCTGAGAAACTGTCATATCCAAGAGGAACATCAGGAGATGTGATGACTCACTAGAATGTGGGACCCTGGAACAGGAAGGACACTAGCGAAAACACTGAGGAAGTCTGAATAGAATATGGACTCGAGCTAATAATAACTTCTCAATCTCAGCTCATTACCCGTGCAAATATACCACGTCATGGAAGATGTTAATAATAGGGGAAACTGGGCGTGCAGTATATGGGAACGCTCTACTATCTTTGCAATTTTTCGGTAAACCTAAATTGTTGTAAAATAAAAAGTCTACTTAAAAAGATGTTTTGTCTAACCAGACAGTACAATAGATATTTGCATAAAATTTCCCTCTAAATTTATTTGTTCATCCAACAAATACACACTGAGCGCCAACTCTGGGCTGGCATTGTGTCAGGCTCTGAGGATGCACACTATGGCAGCCCTGCCTTCAGAAAGCATCCAGTCTATTGTCCACCTGAAGAATGACCAGGGTGCAAGAGAGTGGGGAAAGTTACGAGTGACAAATATAAATGATAAAAGTCTACAAAAAAATATATTTTCAAAGTATATATTCCAAAAAATATACACTGCAAAACACATAAAGAACTGATAAGGCCCGAAGATTCGATGACCATTTCAACCACTTCGTGTCAGAGACGATGGACAATCCACACGTGGGGAGCAGAGACAAGAAACTGTGACATGGAAACTCTCCCAGCCTCTCAGGCTTAATACTTTAAGACATCATTACACATCTATGAAGCCACCCAAAAGAAATAAAAAAATAAAACCCAGTGAAGATGGTCGGGGAGAAGGGATACTTCGGTCAACTCGTGGCTGGCAGTACCAGCAAGTAACCGCTTCAGCGGTTCCGGACAGCAATCTGGTTGTAGGAACCAAGCAGCCTTTATATCCTCTAACCAATAACCCCTAAGTACTGTACCCCAAGGCAGTAATGTGAGTGTAAAGAAAAGAAAAAAGTCAGTGATATCAAGACATTCACAGCTGCACTATTTTTTAAAGAAAAAGTCAACAGCCCCAAAACCCAACAAAAGGACCCTACATGCCTGGTAAACGGACAACATCTAGAAGATGTTCAAAGCTGGGGTTCTAGAGCCTGGGTTCAAGTCTCAGGTCCTCCACTCGCTGAGTGACCTTAAACCCCTCTCTGCCTCAGTTTCCCGACCCATAAAGTGAGGTATTACTAACTCCTGCATTCAAGAACGACCTCAAAGCTTGAATGAGATCGTGGATAAAACCCAGTGCCTGGTCTAAGGAAAATGCCTTGTTACTGTCAGCTACAGGCAACTCTTACACAGTCTTTTGGTTGAAGTGCTTTAACGGACCAGGGAAGAAAATGGAAAGTGAAGGGGGGTAAGCTAAGGAGCTCCCTGTGACAAAACGTGAGTGAGGTACAGAGCCAGAAAAGGCGGGGAGGCGTTACCCCAAGCCTGGCTGAGATGTCCTGAGAAGGACGTGCCATCTCGAGGCCAGACCCAGGCAGGCAGGAGAGGGTGAGCAGGACCCAGAATTCCCACATCCCCGACGGGGGCCAGCAGGAGAAAACGCCGAGTAAGAACAGAATCGGCGACTCCTCCCTCACCCGCACCCACACCCACCCGTCATCAAGACCAGTCCCGGCCCCAAACGCCCCGGGTCTGTGCCCCTCTGCCCCGGCCTGGGCCGCCCCTGGACGACTGCGTCAGCCCCTCACTCTTCTCGCCTGGTCTCCTGCCCACGCAGCAGCCGGCACATCCTGTCACCCCCCGCTTAACCCAGCAGTGCCTCCCAGGGCCATTACTCTATTATCGCCTTGGATTAGGTCCCGCTGAGAGTGACAGAAAAACCCAAATAATGAAAACAGAAGCAAGACAGTGTGTGTAATTCTCCCTGCAACGATGCAGCCGGACTGACCCGTCTGGGACTGGCCCGGCCACGCTGCCCAAGACGCCCTCGGGGCCCAGGCTCCTTCCGCCCACACCCGCCCTCCCGAAGCGGGGAGCCCCTCTCGTCGCGGCGCCACAGCCCCTGAACTTGAGGCATCAGAAGGAGGAAAACAAAAAACAACAGGGCAAAGCTGGCCATGGGAAGAGGCTGGAGCTGTCACATGACGTTTTCCTTTGGTCCCATTGGCCAGGACAAGTCACATGGCCAAACCTCGCTGCAGGGAATGCTGGGAAATGTAGTCTTCATTCTTGGTGGCCATTTTGTTATGGGAGACCGGAAGAACGGATATCAGGGGAAGACTAGTTTAAAATCCGCAGTCCTCCGTGGACACCTCGCGGCCTCAAGCCGGAGCGCCTCTTCCTCCACCCTACTGCCCTGAGGACTCCTCTCTGTCCCTCACTCTCCTCCTGTCTAAATCCATCCTGTGGTCTCCCGTGATGTCAGACCCTCCCGGTCCTGCCCCAACACTCGTGTAAATACGGACTCGCTATTCTCCCAAGGCGCCTGCGCTTGTGCCCCCGGCTACAGTCGGTGCCCGCTCACACTCAGGAATATGGCTCGCTCGCCGGAGCTCCGAGGGAAGGCGGGCGCCCCTGGTTTCCCTGCACCCCAGCTCTGCCCGACACTGCACACACAGGCCCCCACGTGGCTGCTTGTAGGAATCCACCGGCCGGCCTGGCTCGCAGCTCTCGGACTTCAGCTGCAGGAGAATCACGAAGTATGTTGCTGTGCGTCGGACCCTCTCCAGGGTGCGTTCCAATGTGTGTATGGGGGGAGGGAGGGGGGGCCAAGAATCTGCACCCGAGGTCCCCGGGTCACAGAAACACTGTGATGGCCACTGTGATGCCCTGTCAGCGCACTGGGAATGCGCGTGCAGATGCCATAAGGTAGGAGCGCTGATGACAAGTTTGTAGCCGAAGAAAACTGAAATCCGGACACAGCACCTATCTGACACCTCCAACTGGGGTGCCCAAAATAGAATGCTTGATTTCCCTGCTCCCCAGCGACCTTCCCCCTGATGGCCAATCCTGTAGGACATCATCACCTCCAGCTGCTCAGGCTGGAAACCCGGCAGCAAGGCCTTTCAGAAAAACCTCCAGACTCCACCAGATCGGTCAGTCCCACAGCCACCACCCTGGTCGGGGCCACCACAGTCTCCTGCCAGACACCGGTAGTCACCTCTCTGAGGAGCACCCAACATCCCTTCCTTCATCGTGCTGAGCGTCCTCAGCCTGCAAATGGAGCAGGGTTTTGGTTAATGTGTTAGGTCAGTGGATGTCATTCCCTTGGTCAAACCACACCCCCCACGGCTTCCCCTGCCCAGGGTGAGAATGCCAGATTCCACACCACAGCCCACCAGGCCCCATGACCCAGCCCTGCCGCCCTCTGACCTGCCCCTGACCCCGCTCCCCTGGCTCTCCATCCCTGGAACGTTGTCCTCTCACGAGGCGCTCGCTGCCCACTGCCTGTCGGATGCTGCCCCCCTGCCCCTGAGCCAGAGGCTCCGCATCAGCTCTCTGCTTCATTTCTTTCGGGCGACTCGCACTGTTTTACTGTTTTACTCACTTATTCATTTTATTTTGTGTGTTCCCAGCCAGAATGGAAGAACTCAGGAACACTGCCTGTCTCGTTCACTTCACTGCTGTGTCCCCAGAACTTAGAATGGTGCCTGGCACACAGAACATGCTTCACAGTCCTGAGAGAGAAAGAGAGATCTAGAGAGTCAGAGAGAGAGACAGACAGAGCGAAACAGAGATATGGAGAGTCAGAGAGAGACAGAGACAGAGCCAGAGAGATCTAGAAAGTCAGAGAGAGAGAGACAGAGATCTAGAGAGTCAGAGAGAGAGAGACAGAGAGATCTAGAGAGTCAGAGACAGAGAGAGACAGATTTAGAGAGACAAAGAGAGAGAGACAGAGATCTAGAGTCAGAGAGAGACAGAGACAGACAAATCTAGAGAGTCAGAGAGAGAGACAGAGATCTAGAGAGTCAGAGAGAAAGGGAGAGAGAGAGAACTACACACTGAACTCAGGGGTCCCTCTCCCAAACTGTCCCAACACGGTGAGCAGGAGGTAGCAAGGGAGCCCCCTCTTCTGACCACCTTGCCAACCAAGTCCATCAGATGAGCTGCCCACGCCTGTGTGCCTCTCTGAGGTTCCATGAGGCCTGAGAAGGAAGGCGTGGCAGGTGCTCACCTGGGCCAGCAGGAGGCCCCTTAACACGGGCAGGGAGGGAATGAGGGCACTTGCCCCAGCTGAGGCTCCCATGAACAAGGCCAGCCTTGGGCTGAGCTGCTGGCCCTTAGCTCCCAGACCCTGGGAAGCACCCCACAGCCCTGGCCTAGCCAGGCCTGAGACCCAGGTACCCCAAAGTCCTCCCTGAATTATGGATGGGGGTCCCCCACCTGGGTACTCTGGGGGTCGGAGTGAGCAGGGCTCAGGGACTGAGAGTTGCTACAGAGCTGGGATGGGGGCACAGGCCATCCTGATGGAGTGGGCCCCCTCTGAGTCTCTCTGAGCTGTTGGAGACTGGTCCCCTCCTCCCCCGGGAGGACACACATGCACAGGGGGAGGAGCGTCCAGCCCAGAGGGCTCCACTGGCAGTAAAGGTGGATGCTGTGTGAGGGCTGGGCGGGGGGTGGCGCAGACATGGGTGACCAGGGCCTCTTTTTGAGACACAGGTGTGTGCACTGTCTCGTTTTCAAAGATGCACAGGATAAGATCGGCCCAGGTGACCCTGGGACTTTGCTCTGCTCCTCTGCAGGACCCAGCCCGGGCACTTGCCTGTCAGGAGAAGCCATCATGGGACGTTCAGCTGTCCTCCTCGCTGTGGCTCTGGCCACCCTCCTGGCTCCAGAAGCCGGGGCGCCCATCCGCAGGCCAGGCTTCCAGAACAAGCTGTTCCTCGTGTCCTTTGATGGCTTCCGCTGGAACTATGACCAGGACGTGCACACCCCCAACCTGGATGCCACGGCGAGATACCGAGTGAAAGCTCAATACATGACCCCGGCCTTCGTCACCATGACCAGCCTGTGCCACTTCACCTTGGTCACTGGTGAGTGTCAGCCTGGGGGCCCTGAGAAACCAAGGTAACCAACAGAAGGAACCTCAGTGCATGCACAGAACCCTGTCCCACTGGACTCCATGCAGGGACAAAGGTAAGACAAGGAGGGGACACTCTTACTGGGGAGATGCAGTTCGGCCAAGGGGATTGTCCACAGCCCTCACCATTGGTGGCAACTGATAGAAGGCAAATAAAAATGCCCGGTGGTCTCATTTTAAATGGTGACCACAACCAGGGCAGCAACCCATGAGGGCTTCTGGAGGAGGTGAGTGTAGCCAGGTTTCAGAAAGGCAAGATGAGCCTGAGGCTCCTGCTCTGTCCTCTGCTTGCCCCCCAGCCACCCTTGAACCCACCATCTCTCTGTTTAGGCTGGAAGTCTAAAATCCAGGTGTCAGCAGGGCCAAGCTCCCTCTGGAGATGCTAGGGGATCCTTCCTGCCTCTCCCAGCTTCTGGGGGCCCAGGCATTCCTTGGCTTGTGGCTGCATCACCCCAATCTCTGCCGCCTTCATCACGTGGCCGTCTCCCCCACGTGGGTCTCTCCTCTTCTTGTAAGGACACTTGTCAGTAGATTTAGGGCCCACCCTAATCCACAATGCCCTCACCTTAACCTAACTAAGTACACCTGCAAAGATCCTATTTCCAAACAAGGCTGAGGCTCCAGGCAGACACGACTTTGGGGGACACTATTCGGTACAGACCGCTCAGACTTACACCAGCATTTCTGTGACCATGCCCCGCTACACACGTCCAGTTCTTCTGCACGTCACCTTTTTACTTAACATATCACGGATGGGAACACGGAGGACGGGAACGGAGTCTTCACCGTCCCTCCTCTTGTACCTTCTGAACTCATATGTGTGTGTTTCTCGTGCAAAAAATAAATTTTAAAAAATATCTCATGGATGGAGCTCCACTTGGTTCATTTAAATTCCTGCCTAAGATTCTGTTTTATAGCTGGACCATAGTTTATTTAATTAGTTCCCTCCTGATAGCCATCTAGGTCGCTCCCAATCTTTTGCTAAAACCACCAAGGCTGCAAACGACGTCCTCACACATGTGCACTTACGCATGCGCGCACAGTTAGTGGCAGGATAAACTGCTGAGATGGGAGTGGACTTGCTGGCTCAGAGAGTATGTGCCGGTGACCCCGAACCTGGGCTCCCCCCACAGCATGTGAGGAAGCCTCAGTTTCCTGCCCTCCCCTCTCCCCTCTGCCACCGCCTCCCCCCAGGCAGGTACATCGAGAACCACGGCGTGGTCCACAACATGTACTACAACACCACCAGCAAGGTGAAGCTGCCCTACCACGCCACACTGGGCGTCCAGAGGTGGTGGGACGACGGCAGCGTGCCCATCTGGATCACGGCCCAGAGGCGGGTACAGCTGCCCCCACACCCTCACGGTGACTGTCGGGGAGGGGGCAGAGGGACCTGGCCCGGAAAGGCCGTGACCATGTGAGACCCACGGCAGGCCCATTCCCTGCTCTGGGAGCCCCTGCGCTCCAGGCACAGAGGGGTGTTAAGTGGGGTCCCGTGGGAGGTGGGGGCTGGGTGCTGATGAGGATCCACCAGCTGGCTACACAGCCCTGCCCAATCCTCCCTGGACCCCTGGAACAAGAGGGATTGCTCCATTCTCCCAATCAGAGAAAAACTGCACCCTTGGACCCTTTGGCACTGGGAGGGAGGGGGCATTGCATAGGGAAAATAAGCTGACTCAACAAAAAGGCATGTACCAATAAAATGGCTTTATCCCCTGCCCCTCCTGCATACCTCTGGGGCTGGGCAGCTGCCTTCTAAAGGGCCAAAGATAATGTCAGAAGTGGGCAGAGCCCAGGAATCCCACCATCCTGCTCTGGGGACTTCCTGGCCCTAGAGGTGTGGCTTCTCCACCACACCTCCAGGAGGAGTGGACAAAGTCAAATGGAGGTTTTCAAGGTGGGCCCGGAATACATTCCAGAGCCTACACCCAACTTATAGGCAGGGCATCCACTCAAGTGTGAGACCCCTCGCTCGGGAAGGAGCCCCCCAGACGCTGGACCCACGAGAAGAAAGCCAAAGGTGAGAACTTGGTATCCCGAGGCGCTCATTCTAAATGGAAGAGTGGCCTGGGGGAGTGGACGGGCAGACGGGGCGTGCATGGACATATAGTTGGAAAGACAGATGGATCTGTAAATAAAGCAGCAGTCCATTTACGGAAAGACAGACGGATGACCAGGTTGAAGGCTGGAAGGGGAGGATGTGGGTGGAGGGCCAACGGACACACACCTGGATGGAATGCAGCGGTGAGAGGCCGGCTTCAGGCCAGAAGGGGAGGGCTCTCTGGGCAGGGACCTCGGGCCACAAGGACGATGGAGGCACTTCACATCTGGGGACACTTTTATGTCCATTATCTCATGAGTGCTAAGTCCACTCGGCAGCTGCTGCCATCTATAAGATTGGCATTAGCCGCAATAACATAAGATTCGAGCTACGAAAGGTCTTGGAGAAAATAAAACGGCTCCCAGTCAAAGTGAGGAGCGGGGTTGAGTGAGGGGGCTGACAGAGAAGCAGGCAGGTGTGGGGGCAAATGTGTCAGTGGGCATGGGGCAAGCGGAAGGGTCCCATGGCTTTAACGCCGCCTCCTCTGGCAGGGCTTAAAGACCGGCTCCTTCTTCTACCCCGGTGGGAACGTCACCTACCAAGGCATGGCCATGATGCTGAGCCGGGAGGAAAGCATCCTGCACAACTACAAAGACGAGGAGGAGCGGAGGGCCAACATCGACACGGTGCTGAAGTGGTTCACGGAGGAGGGCCTGCACCTGGTCACACTCTACTTTGGAGATCCAGACTCCACTGGCCACAGGTATGGCCCCGAGTCCCAGGAGAGGAAGGAGAGGGTGAGGCAGGTGGACAGAACCGTGGGCTACCTCCGGGACAGCATCAGGCACAGTGGCCTGCAGAGCAGCCTCAACCTGATCATCACGTCCGACCATGGCATGAGCACTGTCAACAAGATAGCCGGCGACCTGGTGGAACTCCACAAGTTCCCCAACTTCACCTTCAAGGACATTGAGTTCGAGCTCCTAGACTACAGACCAAATGGGATGCTGCTTCCCAAGGAAGGGGTGCTGGAGGTGTACAAGGTCCTCAAGGATGCCCACCCCAAACTCCACGTCTACAAGAAGGAGTCCTTCCCCAAGTCTCTCCACTACACCAATAACCGCAGGGTCACCCCCCTGCTCATGTACAGTGACCCTGGCTACGTCATCCACGGGGTGAGGTGCCTGCGGAATGCACGGCTCAGGGGGCGGGCTGCTGGGTCTCTTTCCATTTCTATAAAAAGTACACCCTATTTCTAGCTAGTCCCCAATTTGAGGGGCGTTGGCCACTGATGGGACACACCTATCACTATGCAATAGGAGTGTGTGCGTGTACAGGCTGTGTACGTGAATGTATACATGTGTGTATGAGTGTGTACAAGCCTTGTGTACGTGTGTGTGTGCACGCGTGCATTGGGTACACGGGTGCTTGTGTGTGCTTGTGCGAGTATGCATGCATGTACGTGTGTGCTTGCGTGTGTGCCTGTATGTGTGTGCATGTGTGTAAAGTGTGGGAAGATGAAGCATAAGAGTGACACAGAAGAGGCGAGAGTGAGGAGCTGGATCTCCCATCGCCAGAGAGCCAAGGGGATGCTGAAGGGGAAGCAAGATGCAGAGTAGGGAGGGGGGCTCCGGGAAGGAAGCACTGAGTGCACAGGCGTTCAGCGGCAACAGAGGAGCCCAGAGCGTGGCCATGGGCTGACAGCTCCGCCCCGCTTACTTGGGGTCTCCATTTATGTCGCTGGGGCTCTGGGCTCTCTCTTTGGACCACTGATCTTTTGGGGCTCAGAATTCAGAGAAACTGAGGCTTGAATCCCACCTGCCCCCATGTTTGAACTCCTCAGTGCCAGGGTGCAACAGGGGGTGCTGATGAAGAGGGCGGGGGTGGGCTGGGAGTCCCAGCAAGGACTCGGGCCCCTCGCTCCCCACAGAGAGTGAACATGCTGTTCAACAATGGGGAGCATGGCTTCGATAACGAGGTCATGGACATGAAGACCATCTTCTGGGCCGTGGGCCTCGGCTTCCGGAGGGGCCTGGAGGTGGAGCCCTTTGAGAGCGTCCACGTGTACGAGCTCATGTGCAAGCTGCCGGGCGTCGTGCCCGAGGCCAACGATGGGCTCCTCAGCATCTTGCTGCCCACGTTGCGCTCTGGTGAGGCATCCCTCCACCCGCACCCATTCCACTGCCAGGCTGCTGTAGGGCGCGTGTGCCCACACGGCCAGGGCCAGGCGCCCCACCACCCACGTGGGGCCGCCTTCCCTCTCCCTGTCCCTGGCTTCTGGGAACATCTCGAGTCCCTGACAGTCCCACAACACCTGACACGGTACCACGCACTTTGTGCACCTGGGCAGTGCAAGAGGGAGAGCAGGCAGACACAAGCACCTTGTGTAAGACGGGGACACTGAGGGCTGGAGAAGCAGTGGTTTGTCCACAGGACGGGCCTTCCGGTGAAGTCCACCTCTGGGCTCCTGGTTCCATGGAACCCGCTCTCACACTTGGCCATGTGAGGGCTCCTTCCTGGAGTCTCCCTCTGTCATCCTCCCCACACACACCTGCACCCCCACCCTGACCCCTCTCAGGGCAAAGGTCAGCTGAGCTGACAAGATGATGGGGGCCTGGCTGGAGGTGGGGGGGCCCTGCTGAGCAGGGGCTGAGAGGGGCCATGTTGACCAAGAGCAAGACGGCCAGTGCAGCAGGGGCAGGTGAACAATGCGGGGACGGTGAGAGATGATGGTGGGGACAGTGGGGGGGCTCCGGGCCCACCATCGAGAAGTTGGGGTGAGTAGACGTGTTCCCACTTCCCTCACTCACTGGAGCCTCTGACTTTCCTTAGCCTCTGCCCTCCTGCCAAGCGGCCGCCCCCCTTGGTGACAGGACTGCTGGTGGCTGGGATTCTCCTGGCCAAGGTCACATAGTGCCCCATGGCTCAAGGTCAGAGGCCCAGAAGGCCGAGGGTAGGGTGGGACCACGCACCTCATTGCTCCAGCCTGATGCCCCCGCTATTGACCTGAGCGTCTGCCCCACCACCCAAAAGAGTTGGTCCTCGGGACCCCGGGCAGGCCCCTCCAGCCTCTCTGCTTTGGGCTTGGAGCAGGGCTTCCCAAAGCAGATAGCCCAGACGAGACTAGAGCCCGCCCCAGCCTCCTCCCCTCCTGCCTGCAAGGTCTGTGCTCCACCAGGGGCAAGGGAGAACTCGGAAGCCATCGTGGGCTGGGTTTGGGGGGAGAGCTGCAGGGTGGGGTTCCCAGAATGCATAGGGAGCCAGCTCGGAGGTCTCAGCTTGCTGAGTGACAGTCCTCTTTGTTTCTGCCCTGTGGTGTCACAGCCCTCTGGCCACACCAGGAGCAAGTCATTCATTCATGCATTCTAAAACCACACATGGGAGCCCACTCAGTGTCAGGCGCTGGTCTGGGCTCTGGGGACACACGGTGAATGGGACAGCCCAGGCCCTGCACCCCAGAGTTTGTAATTTAGGGGCCAGGGAGGGCAGATAATACAAAGAGAGCAAATCAGTGCCCAGGATAGCTCAGCCGGTGGTAATGGCAGAGAGAAGACTAGACTGTAGAGAGGGGCGGGGTTGGGGGGGAGACTGCTGTTCAGGCCACCTGGCCTGGAATGGCCTCTCTGGAGAGGTGGATTTGGGGTAAAACCTGAATGCTGAGGGCAAGCTGGCCACACCAAGCCCTGGCAGACAAGATTCCAGGCAGGGAGGAGCAAGAAGCCCTGCAGTAGCACTGGCTTCTCGTGTTTCTGGAAGAGAAAGAAGGCCAGCGTGCTTGGAGGCTGGTATGCAAGGATGGGTACACAATGAGCTTGCCACGGGACAGTCGGGAGGTGACCATTCCGGGCAGTGGGAGCCCCCAGCTGACATCACACAGGGAGGAGCCTGGTCTGATGTGGATGACTAAATGAACGAGCTAACCACAGAGCAGGAGCACAGGAACTGGAGTGGGTATGGCCAGTTAGGAGGTCACTCGGGGGTCCGGGCAGGACGTCTCGGTGGCAGGGTGGATGCAAAATGGACAGATTCAAGATACCTTTAAGGGGCCTGACTTTCAAGATTTGTGGATCGATTGTTGGGGGTCGGGGGGAAAAAAATGGAGAAATGAAGGCTAGGTCTGAGATTCAGGGCCTGAGCTGCCCAGGGAAGGACAGAGCCGCTTACTGAGATGTAAGGAGGTTGGGGACAGTGCAGACTGAGAAGAGCCGGGTCATCACACGGCTCACTGAGGAGGAGTGCCTGGTGAGGTGGAGGGAGGCAGGGGAGAGGCGGTGGGGGTGGTGGGGGTGGGAGACACCGCCAAATGGCAGAGCTGGACAGGACCAAAAAGATTCTTCCAGCCAACCCCCCTTACACAGACAAGGATGCTGCAGCCGGAGAAGTTAGCTGGCTGGTCCAAGGGCTCCAGAAGTGACAGAGCTGTGTCCAACACCAGTTTTTAAATCCCTTCTCTGGAGTACTTTCAACTGCATCGCTAGCTCCCGTGCTTGGGGGGATCCGGTCCTTGAAGGGCGTCTTCTGGCACAAGGCAGGGACATAATAAGATTTCTGTAGCCCTACAGTCTACAAAACACATCCACAACCGTTTGTTCTCCATAAAAACCGAGAGGTGGGCTCAGCAAACATCATTATTCAGACTTCATGGGCGAGGAAAGTGCAGCACAGACAAGGGCAGACCACGTGAATCTCTGCACACGTTCTCTGGGGGGGGGGGGTCCCCAGAGGGACAGCTACAGTGGTGTGCTGGCAAACCCACTCTCTAGACCAAAAAAAGCTCCGATGTATAGCTTTTGCCCATTTCTGTGGTGTAAATGCTCCCCCGGGCAGAATCAGCTCTTAACGGCAGCACCTGCCGGCCCAGCGCAGCACCGGGCCGTGAGGATGCTCCGGCTCCACAGCTGGGTTTTTCATCACAGCTTGGAATCCAGTTTGGAACTAGGGCTGCTGTCTTGTGGGCCAGCTTCTTCACTCCAAAGGCAGTGGCCAAAGTACTTGGCATGAGTCAAAGGAACGTGGCAGCCCTGTGCTGTGACCTAGCAGAGTCCTCCTTTCCCAGACAGGAGCAGGCAGGACGTCAGGGGAAACCGAGGCACCCTCAGGCTCTCCTCCCTTCTGGGTCTTCATTGTGCATGGCCAGGCCTCCCAGGATAGGCATGACCCCCCACCAGGCCTTGGAAAGTGCCCCCCTCCACTCCCCTCTACCAGCCCTGGGGGAAGGGTGTACAGCCCCCCAATTCCCCACTCCCATGCCCCCACCCTCACCCACCCTGTGCCCTCCTAGGTCCAGCTCAGGGTCAGGAATTCCCACAGGGGCCCTTCTCAGTGGCAACGTGACATGAGTGCCTCCCTGCCCTGTGTGCCCCCCACCCCTCTCCCCCACTCCCTGTACCTCTGCCTCAGCTCCTCCACCAGACTGGCCCTCACTCTGCCCATCCCTTTTTCCCAGCCCAGCACATACTTGTTCTTCCAGGCCCCCCTCTTCCAGGAAGCCTGCCGAAGCCTCCCACAAGGCCCTGAGCCCGCCCTCTCGCTGTGAAGGTCTGCTGGATACAGATGGGCCTCACCTCGCCAGTTGACCGCGGAGCATGTGCCGCGTGCCTCAAGTGCCCCCACAGCCCTGCCCATGCGTGGGCGTTATGGGGCTGGCAGTAGGCCCCTGTCCAGGTTTAGGTCTGCGAACGCACAGGCCCGCTAACGGCTCCACCGCCCCCAGACCCGCACGGCGCCCCCACTCCTTCCTCCCCCTGCCCCCTCCCTCCGTCCGCAGAATCCGCCCCACGAGCCGCGCCACCGTCTGCGGCCACGCGGGGGCGCGCGGGAGGGTGCAGCGGGGAACGCAGGGAAGGCAAGCTCCGGGCCTCGAGTCCGAGTCCAGATGGGGTCGGGGGGAGTCCCACCTAGGCTGGCCAGCTCCCGCTCCCGGGCCACGGTCACCGGAGGCGGAAAGCACCGATGGGAATAAAGGACGAGCCCGGTTATTACCAGTCACAATAGCCAACGTGGGTGTGGTCCTTTTTCTCTCAAGCCTGCTGGTTTCGTAAAGTCTTACCGATTGGCCCCTGTGTGTAATAAGTTCATAACACGGGGAACCTAATCACTCTCGTAGGGGACAGGCCCTGGTCGGCCGCCAGGGAGAGCTGGTGAAAGAGGGGGCTTCACGGTAAAAAAGAAAAGAGGGGATGAGAAGGCCCTTTGTAAACTGATGGGAAACCAGAATCGCTAAGCCACACCGTTCAGCAAAAAAAAAAAAAAAAGGTGAAAACACTGCAAATAGTAGACCACCATTGGTGGGGGGAGGGGAGAAAAGAGTGTGTGTTTGTGTGTGCGTGTGTGTGTGTGCGTGCATGCATGCATCTTGTGCGTCTAGACATAAAACCCCTGGAGAACTCTCAGGGTAGGGTGAGCATTGCCTGGCTCCCCAGAGGGGACTGGGTGGCCAGGCCAGGAGCAGGAGGGACGCTGTCCACTACCCGGTCCCCTGGACACAGTGAATACTGCGCCACGTCAAGGACTGTGCGTTCCAAACCACCTTTGGGAGCGTGAGCTTCGGAGTCAGAGGACTCCCGCTCCAGTCTGTCCCCACCCACACACTGTGTGGCCTTGGGGTAGTTACCCTCCCCAGCCTCGGCTTCCTCGCCTGAAAAGATGGGGTGATAAATACATGCCCATCCCCCTGCGATGACCCAAGGACAAAGCCCAAGGCAGGTGCCCCATAGGTGGTAGCCGCAGGGATGATGACAATCCTGCTGTGGGAGGAGCTGAACTTGTCAAATTCCGCTCTGGAAATGAATCCAGCTGTAACAACACAAGACACAGTCTTTGAAGGATGGGTTTGTCAGGATCTGTCTGTTCCTCGCCTGTGAATCCCCCTCTCTCCTCCCCGGGCCCCTTCTTCTACCTGCGCCTTGAGCTCCCTCTCTAGCTCCAGGATCCATTCCAACCTAACCAGCAGCTCGGAGCCTGCATCCTGCAACCTGAAAGGCCCTGGGGCTCCCTGGCCCCACATCCAACAGTTTTTCTGGAGGGACTGCCCACCCCCACGGCCTGCAGCCACACCCAGGATGCCCAGGCCAGCCTGCCCACCTGCACCAGCTTGTGACTCTGGACAGGCCCAAATCCAGCCGTCTCAAGTCTGCCCCACATGGCTGGAGGAGACCAGGTGGGGAATCCGAGGGCATCCACGTCAGAGGCATAGTGAGCGCTCACGGGGGCCGGCATAGCCACCACGACCCCAGGGCTCCAGAGACACTCAGCCCTCCGAGAGAGCCTCGATGGCCATGTTTGCTCAGCCTGGTCTCCTTCCCAAGGGCTGGGCCACAGATACGCTGAGAATCACTCTTGATTGGCTTTTTCCAACAGAAAAGAGAGAGAAAAATAATCTAGTCGGTCCCACATTAAGTATTGTGCTACCCCAGACACCTGGCATCACAAGAGCACCCCAAAAAAGTCCCGGTAGTTAACTGACTCACTGAAGGAGCTTCCTGTGTCAGGAACATGAGTGCTGAGGTGGGGCTGTGTGCTGAGGGGCTAAGTTTCCCATCTGTGCAGCTGTGGGCTAGAATGTGTGCGGGGGTACCAGCCTGAGCAGCATGGCCTGGGTTCAGACCCAGCTTCTGCACCCCAACACTCACTCACTCAATGCTCCATGGCCCTGGGCAAGTTGCCAAGCTGTCCAGGCCTCCTCACCTGTAAAATCAGGGACCAGAGCAGTACCTGTCTCATAGGGTGGTCCTAGCGATTAAACAAGTTAGTCTTTGCAAACTGCTTAGAACAGGTCTGGCCCATCGAAGGGCAACGTTTTAGGTGTTAATGAAGAGACAGGGTCTCTCGTCACACCTCCCCCCTTCTCAATGCACCCCCCAGCCTCCTTGTTTCTGTAGCAGAAAGTCTCTGATCGGTGATACTAAGTCTTAACCGCCTCCATTCTGTAGCACAGAGAGAGATCGAGGCTCAGGGCTCTGGTGGGCACCGTATCAAGGTGGATGTTACAACACAGTTTTATTTGCGTTGTAATTTTTTTTATGATTGCCTTCAGTTTGAGGTGAGTGCTACTGATTTTCCATTTACATCTGTTATTTTAAACTTTTTCCTTTTAAAATTAACAAGTAAAAAAGAATGAGTTGATTTAAAAGAAAATGTTAGCTGAATAATAGTGCAGGTGGCTGGGGGCCATGACAAAGTGTACGAAGGCAGTTGGCCAGCTGTGAACTGCTGGAGGTCGCCCACAGTCCTGCCTGCCTCCTCTCCCTTCCAACCATGCGGTTACCCCAGGAAGCTTCTGGAGGGCAGCACTAGACCTCCCCATGGCCAGCGTCCAAAGATACCCCCCAGGCCTCTGCATTATACACTGTATTCCCAGGTGCCCCGCACCCTTCCTGGCTACCAGTCAGAGGAGTTCAGGACACTACTGAAAAATGGCATTGCAATTCACTGTACAAAGTTCATTTCACTATCACCCCAACTAAAACAGAGTCTGGAGAAAACTCCAGCTGAGACAAAGCCGTGCACTGCCTCCTGGAGCCGCGTCGAGGTGATGGGGCAATCCACACTTACACGTCATGCACATACCACGATCTGGCGACCCAAAGCCGGCGCTGAGTTGGGCCAGTCCATGTGCCGGCAGTAATGGACGAAACATCCACATACTGACTGTGTACGTCATGCGTGGCAGCATGTATGACTGGGACCGTGAAAGCCCCCTTGGTCAGGAGGCCCTGCTTCCTTTAGAGCCAGCCCTGCATGCTGTCACCAGGAGGCAGCGCTCATGGGCTCCTCAACACCCCTTGAAGCCTTTCTCAAGCAGCTTCTGAGGCAGAGAGCAATTCAGAACCTCCTGTTCTCCAGCTTTTCCTTCTCCTCCTCTGAAATAGTGGCACTCCTCCTCAGACTAGCCTTGGGGAAGTGGGCCATGAGTATGTACCTTTCCTCAAGTTTTAGATGGAGCCCCAAGTGAATACCCACCGTTCAGAGAACTAGAACTTTCCAAACCAGGTTTGTTTTAGGATCCCATGAGGGGAGACATCGTGTAGTCCATGTTTAGCACAAAGGCCTCCTGGATGAGTGCTTCTCACACTTGAGGGCCTCAGAGTCACTGTGTCAGATCAGATGTGCCCGCACGGAGTGCACACACACACACACACACACACACGTTTCTGAACCTGTAGGTCTGGAGTGGGCCTGAGAATTTGCATTATTGACTAGTTCCCAGGTGATTCTGATGCTGCTGGGCCCCAGAACCACACCTGAGAATCACTGCACTTAATAAAGTTTATGAATAAAAGAATGAATGAATGAATAAAAGAAAACTGGACTAGCCCAACCTTCTCATGTTAAACAGAATAAGAATTGAGGTGGTGTCACCCACCCGGTGGCTCTGGGCGGAGGTGGGAGGGGAGCACAGGAATCTCCAAGTTCAATCCCCATCAGCCAGGCCAGCCCTTTCCCGCAGAGGTGCAACTTGCTGACGCAAATAAGTCTGTTCTTTCCAGAACCCAGGAGCTGCTGGCCCAGATCCTCTCCTCTCCACTGAGGGCGAGCCTGTGTCAAATGAGGGGGCTCCCTTTGGCCCATTCTCAGGCCTTTCATTTGTCCTGGGACCCAACAGGGGCACCTGCTGGTCGTATAACCCGACAACTGTGCCCCTGACGCTGTCTAGGCCGTCTTTAGAGCGGGTAGGTTCATCTCCCAGGAGCAGGATCCTAAGAGCCCACTGCCTTGCTGCGCCTTCACACCTAACAGCGGTAAGTGTTTTGGGCATCGAGTGGATGGGAAGCGAGACAGCAGGAATCATTCAGCCCCCAGCCCCAGGCCTACAGAGGACCCGAGTGAGGTACCTGGGTCCCCCAGGCAAGCTGCAGGGAGGGAGGAGGGCGGCGCATCCGGACAGCAGCCTGGGCGCCTCCCCTCCCCCACGCCCGCTGTCCGGGGTGCGCAGCGCACCCCCCACCCCAAGCCGCGCAGGCTGCAGGAGCATCTGTTGCCATGGTTACCCGCTGCGTTCCGCTCCTCCCGCCGCCCGAGGTCCCCGCGTCGCCGGCTGCGAGCGCCACAGTCCGCTGAGCCCGGAGCTGCGGGCGCAGGCGGGACGGGGACACCGAACCCCACGCGTGCTGCCCACATTGCACACTCATCTCACACGCACGCTGCACATACCACATCCTCCCCGCACACCATATACAGACACAAAACACACGCCACATGCATGCACGCACATAACACGTGCACACACCACACGTTGCACACATCGCATACACCTCACACTATACACATCACTCCACATCCCATCTCCACACACACCATAAATACATTACAACACACACTTACACGCATACGCTTGGGACCCGGAAGCCAGAGGATCAGCGCTTGGAACAGACCCCCCGGCGCGTCTACACTCACAGGCACAACCCGCAGCGGGGGCGCACCAGAGTCTGCGCACGCGCAGCAGGCTGCTGTTCCCCATTCCTCTGTTAGCAGCAGGCGGCAGGTTCCTTCGCCCTCTCTGCAGCCAGACCTTGCGGAGTCACTTCAGGGGCGGGGCGGCCTTCCGCGGTGCGCACCCCCGACGGGACCATCAGCGCAGCGGCCCCAGGCCCCGGCACCCTGCACACGCCCAGAAGCGCCCCCGCACCCGCATCCCCGAGGGCCCTGGCGCCCGCACCGCCAAAGCACAACGGGCCGGGTCCGAGGGTGTCCGGGTCAGTGCCGCCAGGGGCTTGTTCCCGGGGTGGGCTTGCGAGGGGCTGAGCCTCCGGGACCCGGGCCTCAGAGACGCCTGCGCCTCCTGACCCGGATCGCGCCTCCCGAGGTCGCCCCCTCCACCCCACGCGGCAGGAGGAGGGGAAGGTTGGGAACCGCGGCGCGGCGGAGGGACCCGGGCAGCTCACACACCCAGAGTGCGGAGAAGGCGAGCCGCTAAGGCCCGCGATCCTTTCCTTCCGGAGGAAAACCTAATCTGGACAATTTTTTTGTTTTGTTTTTGGTGATAAATCACTGTGGCTTTTGGCTTAAATCTCCGAAGAAGTTCAAAAAGTGGAGCGACATCATTCTAACAAAACTATCCCATTACGATGTATGAATTTATATGTTTTCTCATGTCTTCACCAATAAAAACGAGAGACAGATGGAACTGATTCTGAACCGCGTCTCAAATAGTAAGTGCTATCCGTCTGATGACACACGAACCGGTTGAAACCGCACAGCCCCAGCCGTCTCATTAAGAAATGCAGTCCAACAAAAATTAACTTTCTTATATATGTAGTAAATACATACCACAATTTTAATATATTTATGTTGGTTTGAGAAATTGATTAATTGCATTACTCACTCAATCCAGAGTGATTTGTTTTAATTCTGAGAGCCTTAGAGTCACAGGAAAGAAAACATTTTAAATTTAAATTATGTACATGTTCTCGTGGCAGAAACCTGCGCTTGGTGATCAGTGGATTACTTTCAAATGTGGAAGTATTTTCATTAAAATAAAATTCAGTGGCAGAAGTAAAACACGACCCCTAGGTGGGGAGAAAAGAACCAGAAGGATCCACCCCTGTCTTTGGTGTTGTGGGAGGCCACACTGCTGCATTGTTTACACGTCGTTAGATATTCTTTTTTTTTTTTTTTTTTTTTTTTTTTTTAAAATTTTTTTTTTTTTTTTCCCCCCAAAGCCCCAGTAGATAGTTGTATGTCACAGCTGCACACCCTGCTAGTTGCTGTATGTGGGACTCGGCCTCAGGATGGACAGAGAAGTGGCGCCTCGATGCGCACCCGGGATCCGAGCCCGGGCCGCCAGCATCGCAGCGCGCGCACTCAACCACCAAGCCACAGGGCCGGCCCCCGTCGTTAGATATTCTTAAAAGAAGTGCCCAAGGAAAACTGAGGCAGATGCATTCAGAAAAAGAAAGTTTTCTTGCAAAGCGGGCAGAGGAGGCAGACTTCAGAAGGACCAGCTCACCAAGTACAAAAAACAATCAAGCATTTAAAGGGCAGAAAATCACAAAAGAACCCAGGTCAGCACATTGGCATCCTGTCCCAGGTGGGCCAGCAGCCAGCCCCCTTCTCCCAGGATTATGCTAACCCTAAAGGCCCGGGCACCTGAGGGAAAAGCAAAGGTCTGGGCTAAAAGTCCTGTGGTTGTCGAATAGAGTCGAGGTTCACAGGAAATAGGCAGGCTTTCATCATTTGGGGACTCTGTAATTTTGGTTTCTCTGGGGGTGCAGAGTGGTTTGCTGGCTTGGTTTGTTTTTGACTGAGAAATGTGACTTGCTCGATGACATCGGAAGCAGGACAAAATGTCAGGGTTTGCTTCTGCAGAGGGAGGAACCGTTTTATTTTTTAAATGTCGGATTTTACAGTACACTGGATATCACATGCTTTGCAGCCTTGTAAACTTGATGAAAAATGGTAGCTATCAACCTAAAAAGGTGCCAAAAGGGCATGACTTTTCCAAATTCTTTAGAGGCTGTGTGGACAAAGCGGCTTGAACCTAGCACAACTCCCTTTGGGACAGATGAGGAAACTGAGGCTTAAAGGGGGTACAACTTGTCCACTGTTACACAGGGCGTTGGTTACAAGCGAGGGAGGCCGGCCGTTCAAATGACCAACGAGCACAGGGCAAGGTGCCCAACATCATTAGTCATCAAGGAAACGCAAATCCAAACCACAGTGATAAACTAAATCCTATCCTCTTCAGCCCACAGGATGACTACAATACAAAAAAAGGACAACGACAAGTGTGGGTGAGGATGTGGACAAGTTGGAACCCTCGTACATTGCTGGTGGGACTGTCAAATGGTGCAGCCGCTGTGGGAAACAGTGTGGTGGTTCCTCAGTAGGTTAAACATAGAATTACCATATGGTCCAGCAAGTCCAGTCCTGGGAACACACCCAAAAGACCTGAAAACAGGTGTTCAAACAAAAGCTTGTACACAAATGTTCACAGCAGCACTACACACAATCACCAAAAGGTGGAAACAGCCCAGATGTCCATCGACAGAAGAGTGGATAAATGAAGTGTGATGTTCCCATGCAATGGAATATTACTCAGCCGGAAAAAGGAACAGAGCCCTGATGCGTGCTACACCATGGATGGACCTCGAAAACATGCTCAGTGAAAGAAGCCAGACACACAGGCCGCGTCTGTATGATTCCGTTTACATGAAATGTCTGGAACAGGCAAATTCAGGGAGACAGAAAGCGGTTAATGGTTGCCAGGGGCTGAGAGGAGGGGTGGGGGTGGTGGGCTGACTGCTTAGAAAATGTTCTGGAACTGGATAGCAGTGACAGTTGCACAACATTGTGAATGTACCAAATGCCACTGAATTACACACTTAAAATGGTTAAAATGGTGAGTTTTATGTTATGTGTATTTTAGTACAATTCAAAAAAACATTTTCTGGGCCTCCCCCCCGACCCCCACACACACACACACACAAAACCAGTGAGGCTGCGTAGTGGCCGTGTTTCAGGCCGTGAAGTCTCAAGAGCAGGACCCGGGCTTCCCACAAAGCCGTCCTGGTCCTCTGGTTAGCTGATAAATGCTGCTGATGGGGCCCAAGGGGTGGGCTGGATGAGGGGAGCCAGGAGCAGCAGCTTGGGCATGTCCCCACTCTGAGGAGGTCCCCTCTCCTGCCAGCTCCTGGCTGCAGCTCTGATTCCTCCAGGAGAGGAGCTCAGGGGAGGCGGACAAGGACACTCCACAGAGCACCAGGAAATTTCTCCTCTCTGGGCCCCAGCTGCGGGGTGTCAGCCAAACCCCAGGGAATTGACTCCTGGCGGCTCGACACGTGGAAAGTGACACTTTTCCATCTTCAGATGCAAGGGATCATCAGACTGCTTTTGTTTTTATAAACAGAGCACACCTTAACAGACACCTCCCACCCTGTTAATAAAATATGCAGATTGAATGTGTTCCCCATCTGGAATTAATTAGGGAAGTGGTTCTTTTAACTCATTCTGGAGAACAAACACTAGGAAGGATCAGCCTTTCTGAACAAACCATAACGCAGACAAAACTCCTCAGTCCAATGTCTTGCATGAAAACTTCAGCTAAATGAACAGGTTAGAGGCATCGCTGCATAATTTATAAACGTTTGGCCCTGGCAACAGGAAGGACCACGTGTCTGTCCAGACTGGCCGTTCCTCCCATGCTGCGCACCCCCTTCAGGGGCATCCGCCCTGAAAAAGCTCTGACTCGAGGTTTTCTTTGGTCATTTGGTTCTTAATATGGCTACTCTTAAGACTTTATGAAAGAATTAATGTTTTCCGTTTATGTCATTTTCAAAAGAGGTTTGTTCTCATATGAAACATGAGTAAAGTCAACTCTGCAAAGAAATTCAAGTGACAGGTCAGCAAGCGAACGGAAGGATGTTCATTCTTTCTATAGAAGTACAGTTCCAACAACAAAGAGATGCTGTTTGGACTTAATGGGATTTTGTTTGTTTGTTTGTTTTTTGTGAGGAAGATCAGTCCTGAGCTAACATCCATGCCAATCTTCCTCTTTTTGCTGAGGAAGACCGGCCCTGAGCTAACATCTATTGCCAATCCTCCTCCTTTTTTTCCCCAAAGCCCCAGTAGATAGTTGTATGTCATAGTTGCACATCCTTCTAGTTGCTGTATGTGGGACGCCGCCTCAGCATTGCTGGAGAAGCGGTGCGTCGGTGCGCGCCCAGATCCGAACCCGGGCCGCCAGTGGCAGAGCATGAGCACTTAACCACTAAGCCGCGGGGCTGGCCCCTGGACTTAATTATTTTTCAAGATAATATGCAAGGCTAGAGTCCCGCCGCCACTCACCCTCCTGGGAAATATTAGTCATCAGCGCCCACGTTTACTCTTTCTTTTGGCTCCGTCCCACGTCCAGGTTTGCTGTTGATTAGATACGAGACCCTGGGCAAATCACTACCCCCTCTCTGTGTGCAGTTCCCTCTTTGTGTGAGCAGGGGCTCACTGTAGTCTTTGCACTTCAGGGGCTGCCAGCTCCTCTGCTGTTACACAGACCGAGCAGGGCCTTGCTGTCCCGAGCTTCAGACCACAAAGGCCGCGTGAAGCCAAAAGCATTCCATATTTTGTGTCGATTGTATCTTGAGGTTACGGGTCCACGCTTCCCTCTCATCCACAGATAATCCGGTTACCTGCTGTGTTGGTTTCCTGTGTCTGTGTAAGAAAGTACCACAAACTGGGGAGCTTAAAACAACCCATATTTGTTCTTTCGAAGTTCTGGCGGCCAGAAGTCTGAAATCCAGGCGTGGGCACGGCTGCGCTCCCTCCAAAGGCTCTGGGGGAGAGTCCTCCCTTGCCTCTTCCAGCTTCTGGGAGCTGCCGGTGTTTCTGGGCTGGTGGCTGCTCACTCCAGTCCCTGCCTCCGTCCTCACACGGCCTTCTCTTCCATCTGTGTCTCTCCTCTCCGTCTCTGAGAAGGATTTTGTAAAGTTGAATTTAGGGCCCACTCGGTTAATCCAGGATGACCTCATCTCCAGATCCTTAATTATATCTGCAAACACCCTTTTTCCATAAAACGTCACATTCAGAGGTACCGAGGGTTAGGACTTGAGCTGTCTTTTGGGGGCCACCGTGAGCCCACTGCACCTGCTTACTTTATACGTCTAACGACCCTGCAATGGGGCCCTTGGACAGTATTATCTAGATGACTAGCTGACCCACTAATAGGGCCCGAGCTACACCTGGAACTCCTAAAACCCCAGTC